TGGGAAATATAGAGATGCGGCAGGAGAGGGTCTCAATAAAAAATGAAAAAAAGAATAAAAGTTTTCCTAAAGAAAAACTATACTCCCTACTATAAAAAATAAATAAAAAAGTTTAACTAAAATAATTAGCATGTAAATTAGATTAGTTACACTAGGGGTATTTTAGTAATCACGTTAATTTTCATTCCGATTCAAGTGAATTAGTAAACAATTTATATAAATCGATGTCATTCCTACTCCGATTCCGGACAGTTTTAGTAAACAACTCCAATTGGAATATAATTATGTTTCCTCCTCAATCCAATTCCTCATCAATCTGATTCCTCCTCAATTCAATTCGCTTCAATCTGATTACAAATTAGTGTTTATATAAATATTCAATAAGTCTTTTACATCTTTAGCTCTCTTATAGCACGGTTACTAATCTGTAATTAGATTGAGAGGAATTGGATCGAAAATGAATTGAATTGAGGGAGGAAACAGAATTAGATTCTTGTTGGACCGAAAATGAATTGAATTGAAGATGAATTAAATCGAAGATGAATTAAAATAAAGAAAATAAATTAGGGTAATTTTGGAATAAAACTATGATTCGTGGAGGACTCCCATGAAGGAATCCAAATACCAAGTATTATTAGAGAATCCGACTCCAATGAGCTGGGTCCCCACCCCATTTTCCTCCCCATTTTCATTCCTCTTGTGGTAGTAAACACTTGAATTCCACCAATTGTGTGCAATTCCCTTTCCACACGTCCCATTCCCCGTCGGTTCAAAATATTTCTTGCCGTCGGTTTAAAATATTTCTTGCACACGTGATTAGGGAAGATTCCAGGCAATGCCATATTTGTTTGGGACTTCGGTGCCCGCAAAATAATTAAAAAATAGGTATTCATCAATTCCCCCTGAACTTGTGATCATTAGACAATTTTTCCCCTTAACTTTAATTTTGGCCAATTTCCCCCCTTAACTCTCATAATTAGTCAATTTCCCCTCTCAACTTTAATTTGGCCAATTTCCCCCCTCAACTCTCATAATTAGTCAATTTGCACTTTACTATTAATTTTTTTTAATTTTCCATCTATTCTTTTTTTTTTCTTTCAAACTTTCTAATAACTTCCAACTACTAAAATTAACATAAACTCACCTGCATAATATAGAGTAAAATGTACAAAAACATAATACAATTAGTATGTGATATGGGTTGATTGGTAAGAAAAAGTTATGAATCGGGTTTAAAGCATGTAGAAGAAGAAATAATAATCCTAAACTCATGGATCAGACATATTTCAATAAAATGTGTTATTCTTAATAAGGAGTCGAAAATTATGAATTGATTAGCCATTTTTGCACTAAAGCTCGATTCTCCACAATTTACTTGAACTTAGCTTTCACTTTTATAAAGAAAATTGTATTCACATACAAAAATGTACACATCAATCCTTTTCATTATCAATTTTGTATAGTAAAAAATCAAATAAAATTACTCCATACTGATTTTTATGACTAATAATATTATCTATGATAAATTGTAAAATTCTAAATTTTAATCTATTTGTAATAGGATAAAGACATAGGAAAATGATTAACATACATCTTATTTAGTTTCTTACACACACTTGTTTACTTATGATCAAATTAAAAAATTAATAGTATGGTGCAAATTAACTAATTATGAGAGTTGAGGGGGGAAATTGGCAAAATTATAGTTGAGGGGGGAAATTGACTAATTATGAGAGTTGAGGGGGGTAATTGGCCAAACTTAAAGTTGAGGGGCGAAATTGGCCAATAGTTACAAATTCAGTGAGGAAATTGATGAATACCTCATTAAAAAAATTATATAAGGGATACACAGCAACCACATTTTTCTGCGGAACAAAACTGGACAACCATTCAATCACCCTTTTTCTTCATAACAAAATGAGCCGTTTTATTGCAAAGCTAATTCCACAACTCAATGCTCTGATAATCAGTCCCGGCGATCGTGATCATCCCGATGGCGAACCAGACCTAGAAGCCGCAGTGCCGCAAGTTCCATTCCCAACCAACAACCTAGATTGGGCAAAGATCATTGTCGGGTTTTGCTTCACAGCAACGATTGGAATAACGCAAATCCGCTTCCAAATTCCTCCCGGCCAGCTCTCTCTCCCTATGACCTTTGATTTTCTTGGATTATCAGTCTTACTTTCTTTCACTTTTATCTTGGTAAGCCAACTTATTCCCTCCGTGTACTATCTTGACATAATATTAGTCCCACGTCTTTTCCATAATTTTAGCATGTTCTTTGGAGTCACAGCCTTCTACATATTCATTGCCATCCCATTTTCTTTTTGGTTCAAATGTGCTGCCTATTCTATCTATGTCACCGCCTTCCTCTTTGTAGTTTTCTGCAATCTTCACTTCAAGAAACATTACAAACCTCGTAGTTTTGAGCACCCTACCCCAAACAATTCAATTCCTCCAACCCCCATTGATCCTGCGGTAGAGTCAAGCCGAGGTGGTACTAGTACTCTTGACGATCGAGCATGCACCAGCAGTATTGTTTGACTTGAAAGGACCAAAAAATATAGAATAGCAAGATATACTCCTCAGATATGGGTATCTCATATTTGTTGTAAGTTTCAATATCCAAGTGTAATTTTGTTGTATAAATCGTATTTAATCCATTTGTTACTGGTATATATTTCACTTTCTTTTAGTGAAAGTAATTGTGTCCACCATTGATTGTCCATAACATCGTGATGTATTTTAACTATTCAAATGTCAAAATTAATTAATTTTTTATACATATGTGTATTTACATTTTGATTTTTATGTAACAACTATGATACAAGTGGCTTCATATATCTATATATTCGATACTACTAGCATTATTGAGACAAGTCTCTTTGTAGGGCAGTAAAAACATAATTTTACAAGTCCAAATTAAATTACCAGGAAGTTCCTATTACGTATGTAGTTTTTAGTTTTCAACTTCTCTGAAGATACCACTTTGATCCGACTTACGTTTCCTTCTGGATTTAGCCAATGGATAAACGTAAACGTCTTTAAAAATGCCCTCCAGCGTTGACTAAAACCCACAACTATATTAAAAATAGGAAGGTATTATTGACACTTTAAAAATCTCATTCTACACCCCTCACAAGTGTATTTTTCTTTCTAAATATAGAAAATTTAAAGTGTAGAATGAGAATTTTGGAGTGCCAATAACAATTCCCTCTATAAATATTCATCAAGTTTAACGGCTTACAACTAACAGTCCTTTGAACGCAACATGATGTCGTCACCAAAATTGTCACCAAAGATTCCCTTTAGACGCTAAACCCATTATGAGTATACGACCACGAGTACTAATCATTTGATTGTGTAATCAAGTAAAAATATTGGTAAAGTTCAACGGGTCACAACACCAAGAAAAAAAAAATTATTTTCTTACTAATAATTAGTAAAAAGAAAGAGACAGTTAAGAACTCGCAATTTAAGTAGGATTTTCTTTCCTCTTTTTTTTTCTTTTCTTTTCTCATTTTCTATTTGAACTGTCACGGTTAAATCACGTTAACTTCTTATATTAATTTTTTATAAAAAGAGAAAGACAAAATACAGAATGTGAAAGGAGATGATGAAAAAAATGAGAGAATAGAATCCTAATCTTTTATGCACACCCTTTTTCATCTTTTTTTTTTACCTTATCTCTTTATGTTTCGCTTGATCATCTTTTATTTATTTAATTCAATCAATAAAAAAGAAAAAGAAGTATGCATGAAGTGAAAAATGATGTGCATAAATCATTTTCCTATATTAATAACTCGCAATCACATTTGTAAGCTAATGCTGCTAGTTGTAACAGATTAATGGGATTAATTCTAGGTTTCCTTCTGGTCTAATTTTCATATTAGACTTTTCTCCAATAATGGGATTAATCGGCACTTAAAAAGCTTGTTCTTGTTAAAGTGCTTTAATTAAACTAAAATGTTAAATCATAAAGATCATAGGAGTGGCCAAAAGACCTCGAGAAAGCTCAAATCGATCAATGAAAAGAAAACCAATTTGAGGGTTCTTGTTTGGTTCTTACACTAAAAAGAGTTTTTGGAATTAACCGAATCAAATAGCAATTGGTTTGACAATTATAGAATATTTGATTAAATTGGTTTGGTTCAATTTTACTAACTTTAGCTGGATGCTTGTGAAATATGATACTTTGTATTTTACGGTTAAATAGGCTAATAATCACATAAAAATACACATGTCCGGTAATTAATTCAAAATTTTGGTAATTGTAAGAGTTTTACTCGTTTATACATCACCTTTCGACAAAAGTAAAAAAAAAAAAAAAAAAACATATCAATCGCCTCATACGTTGTATCACTAATCGTTTATATTAGTGTAAAGTACTTTATTTAAGCCAATATCTTAAGTCTCATGTTCAAATCAAATACTACATAACAGTGAGATTGGACCTCATTTGATTTGTTTAAACCCCAAATGGCACACTTAACTATTGTAGTGTAAATTAATTTTAAAAAATATTTATAGAGAGACAGTTAAGAACGAGTATTTATCAAATATAGCCAAATATTAGCCCCTAATTTCAAAAATGTCATTTTTTATAAAAACTTTCAAATGTATCAAAATATCACTTAAATAGACACAAATACCCTTAAGCTTTTAATCTAATAAATTAAAAATAAAATATATCATTGCATTAAAAATTAAAAAAAAAAAAAAAAAACCAAAAACCCTATTAAATGAATGAATTCTCACGGCAAAACCTAAAAATAGTGTTTTCTCTTATACTAGTCTTTCGGCTAATAGTAACCGAATAACTTTTCCTTTGAAAATCTAGTAGTTGACAGGTAAGATGGAACAATACATCAAGCAGTGGTAAAGATAATCAGGAATATAGATGAAGAAGTTGATGAAGAAGGCAATATACCAGAGTGAACAAGGGAAGATGGAACAATACATCAAGCAGTGGTAAAGATAATCAGGAATATAGATCATAAAACCACTTCTGGAGAATATTCATTCTTAAATACTCAAGAAATCATGTGATAGGTAGTTTTCGAGCATCTTTGGTGATTGCATTAAGACATTCAGCAATATTTGTTGTCATGATGTTGTACCGCTTTCCATCAAAGTACGCACGAGTCCACTTTTCATATCCAGCTGAATTAAGATAATCACCCACCTCATAGTCGACTTTATATATTTCTGTCATGAGACGATGAAATTCGGGAACTCTGTATGCCTTAGCAGCTGTAAAATACAGTTTGTGTGCTCTCTCATGCTTAAAATTGTGCCTAATGTTTTGACTTATATGAAATATGCATGCACCATGATGGGCATTGGGAAAAATAGTTGAGAGAGCCTTCCGAATGCTTTCATGTCTATCAGAAATGAACACCAAGTCATCAACTTCCCCAATTGCTCCCCGTAATTTTGTCAAAAACCAATTCCATGATGCGTCATTCTCTGAATCTCCAACTCCGAATGCTAGAGGGTATATTTGTTTATTGCCGTCCATGCATGTGGCAACAAATAGGGTGCCAAGATATTTACCCTTTAAAAATGTCCCATCGACTGCTATTACTGGCCTAATAGCACTTCGAAAACCTCTTATACAAGGTCCAAGTGACATGAAACAGTACAAAAAACAATTATTCTCATCAGTTTCAATATGTGTTATAGTACCTGGATTTTTGGCTTCTAACACAGCAAAATAAGATGGAAGTAACGCGTAAGATTCCTCTGATGATCCCCTAACCAACTCCATTGCATGTTCCTTAGCTCTCCAAGCCTTCACATAACTTATACTCACACCCATGTCCTTCAGCATATCTTCTATGATGTCACGTGGTCTATGTACTCGTGATACACCCTCGTACTTAGACTTTATGCATTGACCAATAAGAGAACTACTTACCTGTCGATGATGGCGATTGATAACGTCTAATGAGCATGAGTGCATAGTAACGTATTTCCTGACCTTGAAATATGATGATTGTTGTAATTTAGAGGCACATAGTTTCCACTTGCATTCATCGCCGACACAACCAACTTCAAACCTTTCTTTGCTTGATCTCTTCACTTTGAATTCATAATTGTTCTTTATAGCATCAATACCCAACATTTTTTTTAAATCCTCCTTAGTCTCGTACAATTGACCTATAACTATCTCTCTATCTGAATTGCACAGGTCTGCCATGTCTGATTCATGTACAATATTTTTACCCTTGTGAACATCTGATCGGTTAGAGCTGAGTTCATCAGATTGCATATTACTAGACATTTTCCTAAAATATAAGCAAAACAATAAGCAAAGAAGAAAGTGACATATATATTGAAAAAATTAATTTAATATTGGCCAAATTATTAGTACAGTTAATCGACAATTGCAGACTAAAAGAAAAAAAAACACCAAAAAAAAAAAATCATAAAGTAAACCCTAAATTTTCTAAATGCAGTACATGATTTTCTTGGTACCCATGGCTACGGGAAAACAACCTTGTTATTGGCCCTTGTAGGAAAACTCGATAAATTTCTCAAGGCGAGTATTGCAAACCATGAAATGTACAAACCTCATGACTATTCAGATGTTAATCTCAAAATAAATATATAATGGAGTATAAACCGTGTTACAATCATCATAAAACCTCATGTTTTTGTTTCTTCAAGTTGCAGCAGAAAATTAAATACGAAGGAAAAAACTACCAAAGCAAAGAGAAAACGTAGACAAGGAAAAATGTAAGAAATTAACCATCTATACTCACATTCGTTTAGGAGTGCACAAGTCTCCACCAACCGTCGATGCCTTCACTAGATTTCCACCATTTTTTAGGTTTTGCCGTGAGAATTCTTAATCTAATAGGGTTTTGATTTTTTGATTTTTTAATTTATTAGGTTTAAAAGCTTAAGGGTATTTATGTCTATTTAAGTGATATTTTGGATACATTTGAAAGTTTTTATAAAAAATGACATTTTTGAAATTAGGGGCTAATATTTGGCTATATTTGATAAATACTCGTTAAGAACTCGCAATTTAAGTGGCACAATAATACATATTTAATATACAACGGAAATTGTTATTAGCATTTCAAAAATTTCATTCTACACTCCAAACTTTTTATATTAGGAAAAAAAATACACTTGTAAGGAGTATATAATGAGATTTTTGGAGTGCCAATAACACTTCACCATACAATAGATACATTATCATTATTGTAACATCCTACTATTGTAAGGCTAAATCTACCCATAGATAATCCCATTAATTATAGGTTTCCTTCTAGGTTTTCTTTTGGACTCTTCTTTCCATTTTCGTCTCTGTCTCACAAACGCTTTTGTTTCTCTCAAACCTCTTGTTTGGGTTAATATTTAACTTTGGACTTGAAGGGAAGAAAGCCCAAAAGAGCTCAATAAAGAAGGTTTTGCCGAGGCCCAGAGTCAAGCCCAGATCATCCATCTTGAGACAATATGACGGCCCCACATAAATGCAAAGGCTAGGTGCTTACAAGAGAAGTGACAACCGATGGAAATCCACCTACTCTCAGCCCAAAAGCACTTTTTGAATGACAGAACATGTAAAAAGGCTGATGACTCACTATCATTCAGTTACTTTTGGGCAAGAGCAAAAACAACATAGTCGGGTTAATTCGCCTATAAAAAGAGGAAGATGGCCCAAAGACAAAGACACTCAACCAATCAAACAAATATACAACTTGCCTCTTAGTCAAGCAAATACCCAGAAAGTTGTGTTTTGTCCAGATTATGTATTAGCCTCAGACTCCCCTTAGAAAGACATCTTTTGTCTAGTGTAAAAGCTTTGCTACATTTTTTAAATGTTGTAGTATCGATTGTGTAAACTTGCGCACCATTCATCCTGCTTTAGTACTCAACCTCCTGTAACTACAAAGAGAAGAGACTGCAAGACATTTAAACCTTGCCCGACAAGGTGAAATCTTACCCGACTCTCTTTGTATCGTCTTTCAATTAATAGATTTGGTGTTATAATGTATTCCCCAACATATATTCAAGTCATTTCCAATCTCTTAATGATTCAAAGCTCCATCAGTTTTCAGATCTGGTTCCCTTAGTGGTTTTATTGTCATAAGAGGATAAAAAGTGAACTAAACTGCTGACTTAATCGGATCTGGACATCCACCCTCTAAGCATACAAGATAAATAAAAGTCCTTGATCTTAAGGCATAGAAAAGAACTTAATGTAGACTTAACCCATCTACGACAATCCTTTGATAACAAGAAGTCAAAATAACTTGGGGCGCAAGTAATCGACTTAAACACACTTGTTCTACATCTGCCATACTGAGATGGCAATGACACGCCTTCGCACTCAGTTAGTTTTGATTGTGAACCTCAATGCCTACACCTAAGGCCCCACAAAGGCACATTTCAGAACTAACTGTGTCATCCTCTTGCAGCATTCCGACAAGTAGGAGCCCGACAACCAACCAAAGTGCCAACTCCTCGGGGAGTTGTGTGCTTGAGCCAGGAACGCCCACCAGCGAGATTTCCTTCCCAAACACCTCTCATTGCCTCGCTCCCGATCTCAAGTTCTCTCTGTGTCTCGGCTTTTTGCAGAAAACGGTTAAGTCAATAAAATTTGTTTAGATGGTTTTGTCGGGGGCTGCAAACGACAACGTCAATTTGGTCTCGATTTGCAAAAAATTTGGAGCCCATAAAGGATCGCGTTTCATGCTGCCGATTTGGTGTAGGTAATTCTTTGCTTTGAATGTTATATGCTTGGGAGTGTTAATTTGGATTTATAAATGGGTTTTTTGTTTAAATTTTTTGGTTGTGATTTTGGGGATTTTGTTTGTGGCTTCGAATTCTAGGTGATGGTGATTAATTTGGTTTTGTTTTTGGTTTCAGGAGATCGGTTTTTCGGGTTTCTGACGTTTCTTTGGAGCCTGCGAAGGCCTCTATATTTAAGATGAGCAGTTTTAAAATTCTACGCTTTTTATTCTATTTGCAACCTGAGATGTGATTTTAAAGCTGAAATTTTCAAGTTTTTTTATTAATCTTAAATCAGATTAGTTAATTATAGTTAAATTAAAAAAAAATTTCTGTTATGTAGCTGAAATAGCTAAAGTTGAGAATGTTGGATCTGGTACCTTTGGGAAGAAATTTTAAACCTACAAAGCTTGGTTTTCAGGAAATCGCCAATCCTGCAGAAACTTTGGGTTTCCTGTTGAGTTCTCCGACTTATTTGTTTGGGGTTTGATTTTTGAGTTCTCTTTTATTTGTTCAAATTTTTGTTGACTTTAAATTTAAAAATCGGGGTTTTTTTGTTCAATGGTTTCTCACCAGAGATCTCCAGAGATCTCCGCCATCACTGCTCCACCAAACTTGCCGATAGCGTCTGCTCTCTCAAACCAGGTACGACTTCTTTCACTTTCTTTTATTTCCGGGAAAATTTAGGGCTTGAAAGTGTGTAGAATTTTAGAAGTAAAAAAAAGTCTCGATCTTTGTGTGTCCTGTACACAAAGAAATTGAATTTTGATTTGTGTTTCGACATACCCTTACTGGAATTTTTTGATTTGGGAATTGTAGAAGTTAGTGGCGATTCGTTAAGCGGAATGAGAATTCGACGGCACCTTCTTCGTTTCTGCCACGAAACTGTCAACTACTCTCTCTGTGGAAAAATAAATTAGAGATCAATACAAGAAGGGAGGTGTAGATCTTATTTACTTCTTACACACTATCTATTAATTTATGTGATTTGATTGTTATCAATTCATTCAATTCGACGATTGTAAATTAAGATGACGTATGATAAGTAAAAAGAGAAAAAATTTCACCATTTATATAATAACACGTCATCGTGTACCATCAAAAATTTCTCCCCTTGCGCGACGGTCACGACGAGTATTTATCAAATATAGCCAAAAATTAACCCTTAATTTCAAAAATGTCACTTTTTATAAAATCTTTCAAATATATCCAAAATTCCACCTAAATAAACACAAATACCCTCAAATTTAACAATAAAATAAATTAAAGGCTTTTTAGCCAAAATGATTCGTGACATTGACATAACTCCTTAATCTGGTCCTTAACAATTAATGATAAGCAATAGTAGTGTTCTTGAATTTGTCTATTGTTAATCATTTTAGTCCTTCTTTGAATTTGTCCATCGTGATCATTTTAGTTTTTTCGTGAAAAATCTGTCAATTGCTCTATTAGTGTGATGATGTGGCATTACGTGAGTTTCATAAATACAATCATATAACGACATGTGGATTAACTTTAAAAACTATTTTTATATTTAAAACTAAAAATGATATTAGTAAGAAAAAATGCGTTGAAGGCATGATTGAAATTCTGCTGCTCCCACTTGCGATAACCGCGGTGGCGCTCAATATCGGTGATGAGGGGGTCGAAGGGGATAGGGTTGTGGTAGTGAAGTGTAGAAGCGAAGGTGAAGTTGGACCGGAACTTGAGGCAAGAGTAGCTAAAAAGAATTTAATTGATTTAATTGTTAAATTTGGAGGTATTTGTATCTATTTAAGTGAAATTTTGATATATTTGAAAGGTTTTATATAAAGTGACATTTTTGAAATTAAGAGTTAATTTTTGGCTATATTCGATAATACTCGGTCACGACCCCAACCATCCCCTCCGTCACTGATCACCACCTTTTCCCCACTCGGACATGCGACCCCGACGCCGTGAATCCGCCAAATCCCTTCTCGACCGAAACCCACCAAATCATGATTCCCTTATCTTGTCCTTGATTTGATTTGGAATTTGAAGTTGGTTTCTCTCTCACTCTTTCCTGAATTCAACACCCTAGAGGCTTGAAATCTAGAACAAAACCGCAAACGCGATGTCCTTCCACCTAAGGTTCAGATTCAGTGGAGACGAAGACCTCCCAACAACTAAAGGTAAAAAGTAAAAACTTGTTTCTCCCCTGTCATAAAAAATTGCACCTTTTTTTTATTTTTTGAATTGTTTATTTCCCAGATATTATATTACTTGTTCTAAATTACCCTGCAACACTCTTTGGGATTGTTTTTTTTTAATGAATAATTTTGGGAGATTGATGAAATCAAACGCATAAGACTTGTGCTTCGGTATTCAGTATCATCTGTTAGGCAACACAACCACAACCACTGCTATTGTTTCAGTAGTGATCTGAACCACTGCAGTGCCATAACAGTAGATACCGCCATGACAGCCCACGAAGCTTCCTCTTCATCCTCCTCCAAGTCAAAACTTTGGAACTACGACGTCTTCTTGAGCTTCAGAGGCGAAGACACGCGCAAGGGCTTCACAGACCACCTCCACGCGGCATTAAAAGACAGGGGATACCAGACTTTTATGGGTGACAACGATCTCAAAAGAGGGAAAGAAATGAAAGAGGAACGGTTACTGGCAATCGAAGAGTCGAGGAACTCTATCATTGTCTTCTCAAAGAGGTATGCGCATTCGAGTTGGTGTGTTGACGAGCTGGTGAAGATCATGGAGTGCAGATCCAAACTGGGGCGACATGTTTTGCCAATATTCTATCACTTTGATCCTTCGCATTTCAGGAAGCTGGAAGAAGATTTAGCCAAAGCATTTCAGAAACGCGAATTGGACATCGGTGAAGAAAAAGATGACCGGAAACGTGAATATGAAAGAGAAAGGGTTAAGCAGTGGAGAGAGGCTCTTAAAGAAGCTGCAAGTTTGTCCGGCTACCAAGCTCAAATCAATGACAATGGGTAATCATTCACCTGCTTTTCAAGATTTAAGTTGTACTACTCTAACTAACATGCCTGATTAATACACCTTATCTCTCGTATAAAACGTAAACCGTAATTGGAGTTTAGTTACTTTTATACATCAAAGAATGACTCTGTTTCTTTTGTTCAAGTTGATCACAAAATCGCATACTGGCCAGTAGCTAGTTAGTGTGTATATATATATGAAGCAAAGAAAATTGTTTATATACTGATAGCTCCTACTTATATATCAATTTTCAGGTGAGAAGCAGAGCTTATTAGAGAAATTGTTGACTATGTTATTACGGAATGGCTTCCGAGCACAAACGAACTAAATGTGGCCAAGCACCCGGTTGGATTACATGACTTGTTAAATTACCCAGCAACACTCTTTGGGATTGGTTTTTTTCTTTTTTTTTAATGAGTAATTTTGGTAGAATCGTGAAATCAAACGCCTAAGATTACCCAGCAACACTCTTTGGGATTATGTTTATGATTTTTAGCTTTTGAAGTTTTTTGGCTAACAAGAATGTATTTCTCTCTTCTTTTCTGTATATGCAAGGATGATGGGCACAGCTGGGCCGTGCTGCAGGACCAAATCAGTAATTTACCACCCGAAATCCTTGTCTGTATAGTGTCACTCTTGCCGCTAAAGGAAGCAGCAGCTACTAGTATTCTTTCTAGGTGATGGTGCCATGTCTGGGCATCTACTACGACTCTCAGTTTTGACGCTGTTAACTTTGATGTTGGCGATAGTGCTATCGCCACTACTATACAACGCTTCTTGAAGCTCAAAGAACAAGTGAAAGACCAGGTAAGCCTCCTCTACGTCAATTGGGTCGATCACATTCTGGGCCAACATAGAGGCCAATGCATTGAACGCTTCCGGGTTTGCTGTTTTTCTGCAACGCGACTTTGCCGGTTCCATTGCCAAATGGATCCAATTTGCAATGGAAAAGAGGGTTCAAATACTTGAGTTGGAGCTTTGGACAGACTCAATAGCTTGCCTTGATGATGACTACACATTTCCCCACGAACTACTATTGGGTCCAGAAAAGCAAAACGGCCTGTTTTCTAACCTTCCAAGCCTACGCCCTTGTGGATACAGTACTGCTCCTTCAAGTCCCTCAGAGTTGTTCGCTTTAAACATGTTGGTGTGACCAGCGATGCTGTTGAGTTCTTGTTGTCCAACTGTCCAGTTCTAGAACGTTTGTCGCTGAGTTTTGCCAAAGATTTAGGCAAGCTAAGAGTGATAGGTCCCTCCATCGCGTTGAAATATTTAGAGATAAAGTATTGCCTTGATCTCAGATTCATTGAGATCTCTGGTGGAAACATTGTCTCCTTTATTTATTGTGGACCGATAAGAGATTTGAGTTTGAATAATGTGCCCTTGCTGGTTGAGGTATCCATTTACAAGTGGGGCACTTTTGCTGAATTCATTAGGCTTGCGTTCAGTCAACTCTCATGCTGTCTTTCTCATTTAGAGACCCTGAAGCTGGATATCAGGAAAGTGGTTAGCATACTTATCCCATGTTATTTGGTTGAGATCAAGTATTGTCTCGTCCCTTACTCAGTTGTTGTTGGCTTTCAGGTCTACAATCAGAATCATGCGTTTCCCGCATTATCAAATCTAAAGCATTTGGAATTATTAGTGGATGCCGACTACTGTCTGTCCCTTGGTCACTTAGCTTCTTTCATGAAGGCAGCTCCTGACTTGCGCAGCCTTGTTTTGGGGGTATGTATGTATTGTATGCCTTTGTTATTGATAGGCTACCAAATAAAAGTTGATATATGTATGAATGTTTTTGTGCGTTCATATCCTCTCATCTCTCTGTTACCTGTATTTTCGAAGAAGCAAAAGAATGAACAACGGGTTTGTTTTGAATCTGGTTTTGTTTGCTTTCCTTGTTGCAGTTGGTTTCAGAACCTCCAACAAGGACATGGCAATACTAGAGAAAGTTTCCAAACAACCCCATCACTGCCTCAAGGTGGTAGAAATAGCAGGGTATCGGGGTCATAAGTGTTGCGTAAAGCATGTCAGGTACTTGGTGAAGAATGCTGTTGCACTGGAGAAGATTGTTATAAATCCTGTCCGGTTTTGGGGTTGGCCTTGGGGATTCGATAGCGATGCCCTACTGGAGAATGAGGAAGAGAATGCAAGAGATCATGCTATCCAACACCTGAAGAAAAAAGTGCCTTCTAGTATAGAATTTGTGTGCCTTTAGGAGTGCAGCGCCGCAGTGCTTATTCGGAAGCAGCTACTTGAATAACTATTAATTTTAGTGGCTGCAGAACTTGGTATGGAATGAAGATTTGTAAGACGATTTTCACCGGCTTTATTTTCTCTCATTAATTTTAGTGTTTCTTTAATTGTCTATGGTGTTTTGTTCTAGATGATCATGTAAAATTATGATTGAACTGAATGAATCCGTTTTTCCAGTAATTTTTCTTTTGATGATTTGTAAATTTGGTGACCAAATAATGGAGAGCTGCTTTCTTAAACTCAACTTGATTTTCTTTTTAATTTGCACAAAAAGAATCATTTCTTGTCTGCAGCTAATTATAATTTAAATTCGACTTCATTAGGCGCAAACACAAAGCTTAATTACCGCAAGAAGTTAAACGAATGAGCAGAGTTTGGTGAAAGAAAGTAAAACTAACCCCAAGATGTAAGGCAGCTCAAACCAGTTTGCAGTAGTTGCAAATATCAAAGCAAAGGGCAGTACAAGCAGAAAGATTGTTATTTTAGTAAAAACTCAAAAGGTTGAACAAAGATTAATTTGCATCTACTCGATCCCAATTAGTTTTGGGTCTGATGTCGAATGGTATTTGCAATAATTATTCCCATATGAATTAATGTCGAGAGAAATTGGTGACGTTGTCCAACACGTCCAGTTTCGGTACTCCCACACCCACCATCCCCTGGTCTAGGAAACTTTTATCTTCATTCAGTACTGTCATACGGTAGGAAAAGAGATAACCGTCCGGTAGCTGGATCTTCTTGTTCACTAGAAGTATCCTCAGGACAGACACCTTATTAGTTGGGTCGACATAAAATTTGTGCCTACTCTTTTTATTTGCCAGCCTTTTCCACAATTCTACTTTGATTTTGATTTCACTGAAAAAGAAGCATAAAAAGGTTTAGAGAGACAGAGAGAAACGTAATTAAAAGCATCTGCATAAAATAAATAAGGAACTTTAAATGACACTTTAAAGAGAAATAAAAAAAAACAACCACCTCAGTGTCTGCATTGCATAAACATTAGCGGCCCGCTGTCGGTGATTATTGGCCATGTTGTCCAACACGTCCAGTTTCGGGACTCCCACACCCACCATCCCCTGGTCTAGGAAACTTTTATCTTCATTCAGTACTGTCATACGGTAGGCAAAGAGATAACCCCCCGGTAGCTGGGCCTTCTCGTTCACTAGAAGTATCCTCAGGAGAGACACCTTATTAGTTGGGTCGACCGGAAAATTGCGCTGACTCTTTGTATTTACCAGCTTTTCCTGCCATTCTACTTTGATTTCGATCATTTTTGGTGTTGACATGGAGCCACCCACTTGTTCACTGAAAAAGAAGGATAAAGAAGTTTAGAGAGACAGAGGGAAACGTAATTAACAACATCTGACATAAAATAAATAAGGAAATTTAAACGACCCTTAAAAGATAAACAAAAACAAACAAACAAAAAACAACCATCTCAGTGCCTGCATTGCAGAAACATTAGCAGCCGCATGTCGGTGATCCCCCTGGACTATGTCCCTAAAACACAAAAAACAGAAACAGACAAAAGAAATTAAACCCTTACTTCTTAAAATGGATATAGAGAAACATAAATCTTACCAAAAAGAGCACGCACACACCAATATGCAAGTCCTTTTTCATTATTTATTTATATTATCAACAATAATACTAAATTGCATACCCCTCTGACACTACTGCTGCAGAATTATTATTGGATGTCATCAGTCATCATTGAAAGTAGGGTTAAAATATTAGAAAGTTTTTGTCTAGTGGTGTTGTTACTTTCGGTTCCCCCCTCACTTACTGTTTTTTATTCTTTGCTTTCGGCTCTTCATGCTGTAAAGCAAAAGCAGGATATTAGATTAAGTTTTAGAGGGATTGCATGTCATCATGATGTTGGCTTAGCTGCCATCTTCCCTGCTCTCTTCTTCACGTTTCTTCTTCCTTATATGCTGCAACTTGTAACAATTTTAGTCATGAAATAAATATATAAAACTTCAATATGGTATCAGAGCAGGAAAAAATAACCTGCTTCTGCATTTCTTCTAGCTGATCGTATTCCATCTCCGACATGGCGGAAGAACATTCTTATTCGTTTGGAGATGAAAAATCCCCAGCCTTCCTCCTCAACCGTGTCTGAGGTGGATGTAAATCCAAATCAAAGATTAAGCTCGGTCTTGTTAAATGAGTTTAATTACTTACCTTGGTCGAGAGCAGTGAGTCTTGCCCTAGGTGGAAGATCCAAGCTAGGGTTCATAAATGGAAGCATCGAAGTCCCAGATGTTTCCTCACCAACTTATGAAATCTGGCTTTGCAAGGATCAGCTAGTTATGTCATGGCTCCTAAATTCCATGGAACGTAAACTAGCTGAAATATTCAGTTATTCTGAATCATCATTCAAGCTATGGGAGACAGTCAAGGAGATGTATGGCAGCCAGAACAATGCTGCACGTGTGTTTCAATTGAAGAAGGACATTTCCAACCTACAACAAGAAGGAAAGCCCTTTGTTCAACTTCTGGGCAGCATGAAGAGCATGTGGAATGAGCTGGAAATGTATCGGCCTCATACAACTGAGGCGTCTTTGCTACTAAAAAGGGCAGAAGAAGACAAGATATTCCAACTCTTGTCAAGCCTCGATTCAGGATACGAAGACCTACGAAGCCACATACTCATGAACCCCGATCTACCTTCCTTCACCAGCGTATGTGCAACAATCCAACGTGAAGAAGTACGAAGGAAAGTCATGAACATTGGCACAAAGACCGGTGTAACTGAAGCAAGGGCTTATCTAGCCAACGAAAGAAAATACAAAGTGAAGAATCCACACTTAAAGTGTCAACACTGCAACTATACTGGTCACGTTAAGGAGACATGCTGGATTTTACATCCAGAATTAAAGCCAGAGTTCATGAAGGATAACAAGGGCTCACAAAGACTGAACCGTGCACCACACAGAGCCAACAATGCAACTGCCTCAACATCTCATGGTTCTGATGCACTCAAGAATTTCACTGCAAATCCAGCTGCACTCATAAATGAGTTTGCAGTGTATCTTCAAAGCAAGAAAAGAGGTTGGCTTTGAAGATGGAAATTCAATAGCTTTGCTAGGCAAGTTCGCTGGATTTCTGACAGACACACAACACATGACCCGAGATGACATGCAAGGTATCATGACTGCTTTCAAAACTGCTCTTAATGTAAATATGATGCATGATTTGTGGATTGTTGATTCGGGTGCCACAGATCATATGACCAACCATGTTTCTAAGTTTCACAAGTTTGAAAATTTTTCAAAACCTTCTCAAGTCTCAACTGCCAATGGTGAGAGTTCTAAGGTTTTAGGGAAGGGAAATATCAACTTAATGTCGGACAAAATTGAGTCAGTAGCCTTATTTGTTCCTTCTTTTCCATTTCAACTTCTATCTGTGGGAAAAATCACTAATACCTTAAATTGTTTAGCCATTTTCTCCCCTCACAATGTCATTTTTCAGGATTGCCTCACCAAGAAGACGATTGGTGAAGGGTTTTACCTTGATGGCCTCTATTACATATCAAAAAGCAGTCCCAGAGGATTTCAAGCCAAGTCCAGTCCATCCCAAGATAGTCACTTGTGGCATCAACGTTTAGCTCATCCTGCCCAACCTGTTTTGTCATCCTTGTTTCCAAACTTAGGAAATGATTTAATTTTGTGTGAAAACATGTCATTTGTCTAAAGCCACCAGATTACCCTTTTACCTCATCCTTATCTAGGACTAGTAAAGTTTTCGAACTAGTTCACTCAGATGTATGGGGACCAACGTTTGAATCTTTTGATGGTTATAAGTATTATGTAACGTTTGTTGATGATTTCTCTAGAGCCACCTGGTTATACCTTTTAAAGTCTAAGAGTGAAGTGATTGAAGTTTTTAAGGATTTTCACAATCTTGTTAAGAATCATTTTTCCTCTCAAATTCAAACCTTAAGATCTGATAATGGCACCGAATATATGTCCCATATCATGTCATTATATTTGAGCAAGCACGGTATCATGCATCAAACAAGTTGTGTCGGCACACCTCAACAAAATGGTGTAGCTGAAAGAAAAAATCGTGACATACTGGAAAAAACGAGAGCATTAATGTTACAAATGAACGTACCAAAGAGATTTTGGTCACAAGGAGTCATGGCGGCTGTGTACATCATCAATAGACTTCCTAGCCGAGTCTTGGGGTTTAAATCTCCACTTGAAGTCATGAAAGGAAGAAAAATCGACCTTTCACATCTTAGAGTCTTTGGTTGTGTCTGTTTTGTTCATATACAGTCACACCATCGAGATAAATTGGACCCTAGAGCTCTCAAATGTATTTTTCTTGGTTATTCATCAACACAAAAAGGATATAAGTGCTATGATCCTCAACTAAGAAAAATAATTGTATCTAAAGATGTTCGATTTCATGAAGCTAACCCTTTTTTCAGCAAATCACATGAAGCCACAAGTCAGGGGGAGTGCATCTTAGACCTAATTCCTCTACCAAGAATCTGTACTCAAGATGTTTTAAATGACAGAGGTGCTAACCATGACCACATTGATGAATCTTCTACACCTCTCATTGAAGTCAATAATGAAGGTACTCATCCTGATAGTTCTGTGCATGATGATGACAACGGCAACCAAGAAAATCCTCAAGGTGTGGATGAAAAATTTGAACGAGGATGAGATAAACCTCCCAGAACCTCGACGCAATCCTCGGCGTGATAGACAACCTCCCACAAGGTTTCAAGATTTTGTCACATATAAACCGAGGCATCCAATTTCAAATTGCGTGTCGTATCAAAAGGTAACTCCATCTCATGCTGCCTTTCTTAACAATATTTCAAGTCACAGTGAGCCTCAAAACTTTTATAAGGCTAATAACCAAGTTGTGTGGAAAGAAGCAATGAGAGATGAACTCAAAGCACTAGACCAACACAAAAACCTGGAGCATCACCAAACTTCCACAAGGAAAAAAGGCAGTGGGCTGCAAGTGGATCTATAAGATCAAGTTTAATTCTGATGGTTCGATTGAGAGGCATAAAGCCAGGCTGGTGGCTCGAGGATTCACTCAAACATTTGAGGTGGATTACAAGGAAACATTTGCTCCTGTTGCAAAAAATGAACTCAGTAAGGGTTCTATTGTCTGTTGCGGTCAATAAAGGTTGGTCTATGTACCAAATGGACGTGAAGAACGCCTTTCTACATGGTGATCTTGAAGAAGAAGTCTATATGAGATTGCCACCAGGAC